TTTAATTTGTATTTTGTGGCATTCATGTGGACGGCAAAGTAAGAATTTCATTGTACAGGGAAACATGTTTCCTAACTGTGCATATGACAAATAAAACACTTGGAACCCTTTTTGTATTCATCCTAAATGTCTGATCTGTGTTCACTGTGGTTGTTGAGAAACACCATTTTGTTTCCTTCTATGCCCCGTATGTCATGCAGAGCCTACAGTATGGTGTATAGCTACCACAACAGTGAGCCTGGCTTGGATGTAAAACATTTCTCATAGTGGCTACCCAAACATGGCAGCTGTGGAATGGCATTAAACTCTGCTCGCTTTGTAAAACAAGCTTTGTTACTAAAATCGATAGAGCTTTTAGCAGAGCCATTAAACTCCACAATTACCAAGCTACAGAGAACAAGTATGTCCTTTACAGGATCTTTAAATGCCTAAAACCCAGTAGGAAATATGAGAAAGCTCTGAGGAGGCACCAAAACAAACAAGCATGCAAAAAACATCAAAACTAGTTCCATAAATCCAGAACAAAAAGTTCTTCCTGTTATACTGGAGGACTTGTTGCTCCAAGTTACTCCAAATACATATGAAAGTATCTGTATGACTAGACAGCACTTAGTAAGTAGGAACATATTGCATGTTATTAATTTTTATCACTGGGTGACCTGACCCATTATTGTTTAATGTGCCACAGCTGTTTCCCTCCTGACACCAGATGGAGGCTATCATTCATTTGTCATGAATAATGTGGCCTTTGGCTTTGTATCCAGCTTAATGTTTTGTATATGAACATACTGTATTCCCTTGAATATGTTCAAGGGAATATGTTCATCCAAAAGAGGTCTGACACTTTTTACTTTTCCCTGTGCTTGTCTTATACTTTTAAACCTTAGATATTTTCATTGATTTTTACTAACATTTGTTTCCTACTGACATATGAAGTACATGTCTGAATGCTTTCATTCTGATGTCAAGTAAAATCTTTGCTAATTTCTAAAAATTGGTTACACCACGTGTGTAGAGCACGTGGCTTTAGTCTTATGTCTCATTTTGAGACAGCAGTCGTTGAGGCTTGTGCCTCCCCTAGGACAATGGAAGTGAGCTGAATTCCATTTGTGTAGCTTGAAATAATTAACATGCTTAATAAACGCCTCACTGTTAATAGCCTACATTATGTTCTGGCTTGCTACTCTATTATCTTTAATCCTGTTACTCTAATCATCATTCCTTACATTATAACTCACAGCATGTTTTAGTTTTGAAAAACAAAAAAACACACATTCTGCACTGGTCCTATGCCAGCCGCAATGCACGATCTCAGTGCCAAGACTAGAAAAAGACAGAGGAAGCCCAAGCACTTCCTGTGTACTGAACTGCAGATAGTGAATAAAGACAGGTCTGTCTTATACTCTGTGCAGCAGGCCCTTAAACAAGCCCTCAATAAAAGTTGTGCTCTCATAATGCTTAAAATATCAGCTATGACCTCAGTTAGCCTGAAGCTAACACCGTGTGTGACATAGGACGGGGTTTTCATTCCATGCTGCCAAAGTTGGGTTTTCCCTAAACTTTGGCCTCATCCTTCCCTGTGACTTCAGTGCAGTTTAAGAATGTCAGACACCTTTGGTTTAGAAAACATCACCACTGAAGAAAATCCAGGCAGCCCACTGGCTAGTCAGATGAACTGAGTGTAATTGTTTGGGAGGCGTATTATCTAGACAGTCACACAAAGAAAATCAAATCATTTGTTCATTAGTCTGACCTTTTCTTCACAGCCGGGTGCCATTATGTGCACTTCACCTATTGCACTGAAAGTGGACACAGTTTGGAGGAAGGGGATAAGTCACTGGAGGGAGGAGGAAAGAGAACAAAATATTTGCCTGACAAAGAAGGGGACCACTTACCTTTTCTCAGTCAGTGCAGTATTACTGGACAGGAAGCATCCATTAAATATGATTATGACCTCATGCGGCTTGTGTAATGTGTGGAGCTTGGAGGCGGCAGTACTATAGGCTTTTATGGGTGGGGTGGTGGATTTGAGGGTGAATTTACAGTTACAGTTAATCCACAACATTTTCAGACAAGTACACTTAGAGCGATGAAACAAACACACAAGACAGTGTCTCACACGATGCAGTATTACAGTACACACAGGCAATTAAGCCTTACTCTACAACACTGCAGGGTGGCACTGATGCTAAACAAGCCCAGTCACACTGATTACTGAACGAAACACAAAAGCCATCTCGAGGAACATGGGGCACTGCATGAAAGCATCCACGCAGTAAACAATACAACACAATTATAAAATACTATATGTGCATATGTAGACATCAATATGCATTCATTGTCCATTTAGGTAGTAATACTAAACAAGACTGATGAATGAAATGTTAAACACACACACAGTAGCTCATATCAAAGCACTAAATATAGCTTACAGTAACTTAAGAAGAGCTGCATTGAATCTCTTCTGTTTGTTTCTTTTCACTCACTGCGACACCTTTGAATTAGATTCTTCTCTGAGCTGCATGAGCCCGACCTTTCAGGTGTGAAGCATGACATTTTATGTGGTCTGTGAAACCATTCTTCAAAACTGTACATGAGTTTTCACTTGTGGCAGTAGAGGCATCCAATAGTAAAGTGAGTTTCAGTGCATTGCCTCCAAAAGTAGTTTTGTAAGTATCCGCTTTTCATCTGATGCCTGGTCCATTTCAGTGTCAGTTTGTCCATTTTCCAAACAAATAACAGAATGCAGCATCAGTTTTGGCCACATATTCCAGCCGGTGTCTGCCATGAAACCACAAGGTCGTGAACGACTGCTTTTCCCCCTGGAATGCATGGCTTGGCTATTTCTATAATTTAGGAAGGAATAATGCAATGGGTCAGCTGTGTCCCGTGTTGGGGTCAGGAGGCGATTCACAGCTGAGGGGACACAGAGTATAGTGTTCTGTACACAAGGACATTGTCTACATACTGTGATAGCAACATTATAAGTAGGGGGTGCTCTTGTTGTATTTATTTTGCTGTAGAGACCTGGCTTTCTTAATCCACTGAGCCCTTTCATGAAAGTTTTATTTCATGAATTTCATGTATTTCCATTTTAATTAAGATGATCAATAACATGTAACTAAAACACAAAATCAAAATAAAAGCATATAAAGCATCCAGTATTAAAATGGATTTACACACAGTCCTTTAGCTAACTCTGCCCAGATTTCAATATTTCTTGGTGATTGTGCATGTGAGCAGTTGTGTTCGCCCACCTTGTTCACCATATAGCCCTGATCAGATGCAGTGATTGGTGGAGGTGTGCAGTCCTGTTATGCTTGACTCTCAAGATGAGTCCAAGATGAGCTGTTTGGTACTAAAAAGGAACAGACTGCCTTCCACATAAGACACAGATATTTTACCATGGCATTGTAAGAAAATAGTTGCTTGTGCACAACATGTGAGTGCACTACTTCTTTTCTAGTATTACTTGTTGGTGTGTCAAGGTGTGTTCCCCCTTATTCCTTAACCTATCCTTCTTGGCCTGTGAGTGGGAAGCAGAAATGGACTGCCAAGTGCTGAAGCATACAAACCATAACAGTAGCTTTTGTTTTAGTTTCAACATAGGTGGCCTCAGGATGCTCCATTTAGTTCTTCTCTTTTCCACATGTCCTTCGCTACGTGGCACTGTGATGTTCCAATATCAGTTTGGCAGGTGCCAGGAAAATGCTACCAGCCTGAAAGCAGAGTGACTAGAAGGAACAGATCCAGGCTTTTATGGTTTGGGCATGGCTACCTTAGGGAAATATTTACAATAATAGAACTTCCTGCCACTTATTGTAAACATATGTATTTTTCACTGTTGTGTGCTTCCATCTTTGTGACAATCAACCCATGTACAAAGTGAGGTCCATAACAACATGGTTATCAGAGACTGGTGTGGAACAACTGGACTGGACTACACAGAGACCCAACATCATCCACCTCCAACACATTGGTGATAATCATATGCCTCTGCCTGATTTCACCTCAGTGTTCTTGTGACTAAGCAAGAACAAATCCCAGCAGTCAGGTCATGAAATCTTGTGGGAGGTGTTTTCGAATGACATGTTGACAAGTGTGTATAATCTTGTGATATACACATACTTTTGGAGATACTATGTTTTATCAAACACATTTTTTTTTTCCTTTTTCTCGATACACAGTTCTGGTCAGGACACCACAGCAGTACTATGTGTGTGTACTGGATTACACATAGTACCCAGTGGGAACACACACCTGCTGCTGATGAAGTCTGTAATTGTAGTGGCCCAAACAATTACCAGCAGATGTGCTCCACAAAATGAAAGTGAAATGAAAGCTCTTGACTCTGCTGCTTTACTAGTAATACTGTAATACTTTACTGGCAGTAATTCCCTCTCTGTGTAGCACTTTTTATTGTCAGTGACAGACTACTGTGCTAGAATAGACGAGGGATTCACAGGAAAACAATGCCCGCAAGTAATCCAGTGCAATTTTATCTCTTGGATATCAGCCTCAGTGATTACCGTTCATTCTTTTTATAGAGCTGGGACAAGGTATAATATTACAGCTGATTCAAATTAAGCACTATTGCTACTTCTTGAAATGTAGCTTGTTCAACTGATAAAATATTTGCCTTTTATTGTAAAGCATTGACCAGAGGGGGCATTCCCAAATGAAGCCTCACTTTGAAGCTTGTGTCTTTTCCAGATGGTAAACGAGGCTTTGTTTTGCCATCTGTCACGATTTGAGTCGACTGAGTAAAGGCTTGTTCACACGGATGATTCCCTCTACGTTATATTCAGAGGTGTTCCTAATATTCTGACCTTCTCATGTATGTAGACAGGGAAGACAAAAATATAAAGAAGTCCAGTACAACACCGCCTTTAACTATGACCTCACTCATAAGCATATAATTGAACTTATACATTTATTACATTTTCACCAAAAACTGAAACTGTGGCACAGAATTCTATAGGTGTACCTAATAAAGTGGCTGGTGAACAAAACATTGCTGTGAATTAAATATTCTCTAAGTAACCATCTTATCCACATTAACAAACAGCTGTGCATCTGTATCTATCACACCATATAAGCACTAGAGCATAAACGCAAAACAAGCAAACATTTAATTAAGCAAAAATAAGGAACATAGACAAATGAGCATGTGGCTATTACTGCTAATAAATATCCAAAACCCCACAGCATGTACTTTCCCTAGAGGTTTACTATGTTGTCAGATGTCTTAAATGTGTTTCCATCAGTTGGGGGAATTGTTAAGTCTATTTGTGCTGTCTTCTCTGTCCTTATATTTGACCCCCAAATAACTGCAGAGCTTGTTCAGGATCAGATCAACAACCTCTTCCTCCTCTGAGGGCTGGGGAAAAGAGAGAGATGACAACATTTCTTTTGAGTGACAGGAACTGAAATGACATTAAGAATATATGACATCACCAGAGTTCCTGCATTTAAAGGAGTGACAGAAACTGATTAAAGGGTCCCATACTGTGGTCAGGGCCTAAGCAGAAGCCAGTGGGTTAACAGTAATTTGTTAGTTTCTTCTGATTATTAACATTTATAAATTATTTAGTTTCTTCTTCTTATTCATACATTATTAACGTTCTTATCAAACCTCTGTCATTGCCACGGACAGTGAGCTGCAGCTTATCAACAACATGACATAGGACATTGTGACATGACACAGAAAAGCACAGGTATAAATAACATTCGCACTTATCATAATAGCTTGTTAAAGTGTCTTACTAGGATGTTGGAATAGAAAAATTCAATAGCTAAAGTTTTTACTAACTTACCAGCACTTTAATGAGCTGTAATAATCTATTCAATAATTTATCCATTTATTCATATGGTATTGATGATATTCATAATGTCTAATTTATTTAATTAGTAATGAACCCTTTGAGCCCCCATCCTCTAGGTGGCCATAATGAATTCAGACTGCAATGTGCTTTATTTGCTTCCACACTCTGCATTAGGAAAATATCATCTTTCACCAGAGTGGATGGATTATTTGGTAAGTATTTTTGTATGGCACCTGGGGAAATGACTACATTTTACCTTGTAGGACTTTTTCTCCTGGCTGAATGCCACGAGGATCACCGAGACGAGGAGACTGAGCACCATAAAGGACATGAATACAATACAAGAACTGAAGAGTAATCCGCCAAGCAGAGGGGTGAAGTCCATGATCTGGCAAACAGTGGATTAGTGAGACACAAGTAGCATTATGGGTTAGATTTGACCCCACATCATCAACAAACTACTTATACTATTGTTTGAAAAAGCTCACATTATGTATTTTTATACCAAAATATTTATTCTCTGAATAGGGGAAGCTCTTACTCACCTCATCATAGTTAAAGTTGCCCAGCTGTAAACTGATGATGGTCATCAGAGCATCCAGTAATGTTTTATAGGAGTACAGCTTCCAGCCATAAATCACATTGGACTAAAAAGAATTTGACCATTAGCATCACCATCAGCAAAGTAATCACTGTGAGGAGTTACTAGGGAATGAATGAATGAGGAATGAATGAGGAACGAATCAGGAACGAATCAGGAACGATCTGCGTCGTTCATGAGCACTTCCATAGTTACTTCTAATGTAGGACTCTATGCATATTAAATAATGACTAAATGCTAGACAACTGACTGGGGGATACTATATCTGTGATTGATTAGATAAACCTATTGATTAGTTCATAATTGTGTTTGTCTGTCATTAACTGCAGTGATACACTCCTCATTACTTCATAATTAGCTCATCATTAAAGTTTATTTCCCCAACATTTAAAGAAAATTATACAGAGTATTTGCTAAGCAGGCCTACTTCATTATTATCTTCATAATTACTGTTTCCATAAAAGCAAATCACAAACAGGAGGATTCTAAACAAGTATTTTAATCAAAACATCACATACACAGTAGTGTTTTTCATGTCCATGGTAGTTACTGTATCTGTGGACATGCTTACACCTTACACATATATGCAATGAACATAGTTTATAACATTTTTAAATTTAAAATATTTAGTCCTAGACTGGGGGGAAAGGCCATAACATCAGACAAACTATACTGATAAAACTTATTTACATATTTTTTTTTAAAGTACCTCAACCTCTAGTAGTAGTGTTATATTTTGTACCCAACAGTGTTTGAATCACAGGTAATCAAGAACAACAATGAAGAGAGTGGGGAGTATGATTGACACAGTCATAATTATGAACTAATCATTACCTAATAATTCACAGTAGTATCTCCCAGTCAGTTCTCTAGTAAATAACCATTATTCAGTATAGAGTCCTACATTAAAAGTTATTAAAGAAGTACTTATAGACTGCGTGGATCAATCCTGACTCATTCCTCATTCATTTCCTAGTAAATACATACATTTTTGTGTAGTGTATTTAAAAGTCTTATTTTCAAAAGTCTATGTCTCAGTAAAGGGACATGATACTCACCACAATGGAATATGCCATCAGCATGATCACAAGGACCACAAGGAAGCTAGCTATGTCATTCCAGGCTCGCCTCAGTGTGCCTGTGATTATGTTCATACTGGGATTTAGTCTGAGCAGGTGCCACAGTTTGACGGTGGAGAGCAGGACCAAGAAAGCAATCAGATACTGAAGCTGGGAGTCTGTGGTGGCTGTGTCGTAAAAACTGGCAAATCTGCACACACATTATAGATGTGAGTTTTCATCAGTGATCGAAGAGGTACTCAGATTCTGATTCCTGTGCTTAAGTAATATTACTATTGTAACAATATATAAATACTCCATTACAAGTAAAAGATCTGCATTCACCATCCTTCTTACAGGAGTATTTTCATCAAAATGTACTTAGCATCAAAACTATAAATAATTGTTCAGCATAAAAATTTGAACATACTGATATATCATCAGAACATTATTACACTTTTAATGGATTTATGCATAATTAATATAATATGTCAAATGTTATTGTTTATAGCTGGCTGAGATGGAGGTAGTTTTAATGTCTCTTTGGTGGAACTGCTAACAACCTATCTACAAACTGGCCCCACCAAGACAGCTTTAATTGTAGCCAAGCAGAAGTAAATATTGGGCTTGACACTTGTTTTCTTTATACCTTACCAACTAAAGAACAGTATAACCTTTAATACTTTGTCAGTCGTACTCATTTTTGTGGTTTTGGTAGTAGGTTATATCGCGGTCTCCAAGCAAACTCCTCTTGATGAAGACACCCACGGCGCTCCAGGTCAGTAAAATGATACTCAGCTCCAGAAGGTTCCACTTGCTCCTGAAGTAACCCCACCGATGTTGCTTCATTAATTTGCCCTTCCATGAAAAGAAAAGACAGAAGGCTGTCATATGTAACACAACAGGAGTCATTTTGTGTGCATGACTGGTTTTGTTCCATTAATTTCATAAGGCAAAAACAGTAACATGTCTGTTGCCCAAATGCTAAACTGTAATATAAATACTGTAGGTTGACCACTTTCCACTAAAAACTCACTTTTTGTATTTATGGATTTTAAATAATATACTTGTAAATACATATTCATAAACTATGTTCATTTTCAGTATTTGTATTTAATAAAATGGTGTTTGTGACCTGAATTTTTGTGTGGAAGTCTTAATGGCATAGCGTAAATCACATTAATGAAAATAGAAAAATAATGTTTTCATCACCATCATCAACACATTACTGTCACTGCCTTCTAATTCTTTCCTTATGACATAATTTAAGAGGTGAACAACTAAACATGAGTTTTTTAACGTCCTGTATAATTTAATGGAATAAAATATTATAGGAACTACGAAGTAAAGGGGCTGAACAGGATTTGACAGCTTTTGGACTTAGAAATAATAATAATAATCACCTTTATTAGGCCAAGTATGTTACACATAAGGAGCATACATACGGTAGAGAACCATATGTATGTTCCAAGCAGGAAATCAGCTCCTCTATCTGTAGCTGCAACATCATTCCCAACAAAATCCCACTTCTGACACCAATGTGGTGAGCTAGTGGATAATAAGGATAATCACCTTTATTTGGCCAAATATGTTACACACAAGGAACTTGTTTCCAGTACAGCACCGAGGCAGCCATCTGCGGCGCCAACTCACACCGATGGTTCTAATCATTGGGGGCAACTCGAACCTCCAACCCTCCGGTTGGGAGATGATAAATCACAGTACAATAAATCAGTTGTTGAATGTCAGGTAACCTCATGCACATTTTGATTGATTTCTGCCAATCACAACAGCAGCATCTCCTGGGGAAAAACTGGTCAGGGAAACCAAAAATTGTCTATAAGAACCTGTTTTGAAATCCAGGTTGGCAGGGGATAATTTGAACGGATTCTGAGATAAGTACGAGTTTGTGAAACCCTCTTTAAATAGAAAAACCTCTGCCAGTCTCATTAAATGAGTCAACTCAAACATACCTGATGCATGGATAAGAAAGAACCAAGCATTTATTAGCACTAGGAACTCATTGTAATCATATTAGCTTTTACCTGCATAAACATGTAATAGAGGATGAAAAGCAAGTAGATGATCTCAGCAGCCGCAACAAAGATGAAAAGACCATCAGTTGTTTGGTAAAGACGAATGCTGTGCAGCTCGGTGTGGAACTGAAATGTTCCTGCAAAATTAATAAGAACAGCTGCATTTAAATACAAATAGGCTAGTATACAATGCACTGTATATTATTAGAAATGTTGAAATAAAGTACATTACACCTTAATTGTACAGTATGAAGTAAAACAATCTGATAGTACTGTCTTAGATGCACAGTTTTGTGTGATGGTGTTGTATGTTCTCCAGAAAATATTCTTTAACAGGAGTGTAATTAGATTTCAGAGGAAACCCTCAACCTTACCTGTAGCCGTGGTCTCTAGCAAGAATGTGGCAATGCAGAACAGGTTCACATTAGCATTATATACAGTGAACTCTGCAAAGAGCGCCCTTGTGTATACATCCAGCCATTTATTAATGAACAGATATTCAAGGGTACTGCGGATAAAGAACACAATAAATATTACTGTAGGGCTTGCAGCGTGTTCTTTTATGAAGAATAATCGGAGTCACTATCACCTTTCAAACATTTATTATCATAACTGAACAGACCATCGAATAAAGCAGTTTACAGAGCTCTGGGTTCCATCTCTATCTGAAGCCCTGACCTCAACAGCAAAACCGTTCAACTCGTCTTCAGGACGAGAAGGAACACTGTCCTCTTCCATTCAGTTGATTTTATACAATTTCAAATGTGCCATTGTAGGCTGGTCTGGTCCTCTTGTGCTTTTCTATTGGTCCATCTATCCATCCGTCCTCCTCCTGCGTCCTTTCTGCTTCAATGGGAAAGGCGGCTTCCTAAAGATGGAGGAAATCCTACTCTGTCTAAATTCCTACACTCACTTCTTTCTTTGTTTCCAACTAACTAACTACACTATATGACACATGGCTTCCCGTTTGGCTAATTAAACTGTCTTGCCTGTGTGTGTCTGTATATTGCCCTGCCTTTGAAGTTGTCTTCCTCTTGTTGGCTTTTAGATCTAATCTCTTGTTTATTACCCTTGGTGTCCCAGTGACCCCAAATTCCCTGGCCTCTTCAGCCAGGTGGTGATAAAGTATCTGTGGACCCTCCTGGTCAAAGCTGTAAACCTAATGAAATTCAATGTTTTCGTGAACCAGTCCCCCCTTGATGTTAAACAGTGCTCCAGTTGACTGACACAGTAAATACTGACCAGTGATTCAGTGAACACATAGGGTGACATGTAACTACATAAACATAACTGTAAGATTAAAGTAGGTAAACTTATGTGTGCTATAAACTAAATCTTAACTATGATAGAATTATCATACGCAAACAAAGTAAACACACAGGTTGACTAATCAACAAGCATAGTGTTAATCTTCTACTATTTAAATTCTTAATTCATCAAATGTCAGAATCAACCTTAAAGTATGATTTTGTTAATAATTTTACCCAACACACTTCCTGTTATTAAAGTGTTCTACAACTACCAGCTGTGTTCTACAACAGAATAATAATACAGTATGTTTCACATCTATATTTTCAGTGGGCTTTTGATAGCTCTCAGGGTCACTGACCCTACTAAGACCACTGTGGGTAGTGCAAACTCAAAGTTACTGAAGTATTCCAGTTTGCTGATGTACATACCTGCTGGCATTTTGCAAATCTGGCCCGAGCTCTGCTACAAATCCACCTGCCCTGTAAAGCGCCATTGTGCCCCAGATATAGGAAGCTTTGAGCTGAGCCTGTGTCTGGTACCTCCAGGGGCTGGGGGTGTTTGTAGAGATATTATCCCAGAACGGGTAGTTCCAGCCAGGGTCATAGGAGCCTGTGTCCTCTGCATCCCATGAATATAGAGCTTGACAGCCTGGCACAATGTGCAGCATGGGGCCAGGAGCGTGACAAAGGTTGTTCTTCACTCTCAGTTGACGAAGACGGGCATTACCCACTAGCTTGGAGTTTCCATCTGTGATAAATCCTGGAGAAGCATTTTACAGTTTCTTTATTGGATTTTTCTCAGACAGTGCTGAATTAAAGTCATATTTGGTTTATGGTCTATGTGTTGTGTGATTACTTCCAATTATATCACTTGTGCTTTTAACATAATAATAATGTAGATGATTGTCATTTTGTACACAAATAACTATTTATATAGCACTATTCAAAGGAGAGGGGTGTGAGATATTCTATATTGTGAAAATTTATGACAAAGAATGTGTAAACATCCCAGACGACTCCCCCAAGCTTTAACCTAACCCTCTGCTGGAACCAGCTCCCCTCAGAACTTAGATTTGACCAACCAAGCTAAAACACATTGGCTGTATAATTTAAAGTCACATAAGGCGGACCACTATTTTCTTTGCCTATCAAGATAAAAACATGGCTGAACTTAAAAACCTGCAGTGGTGACTGAATATGCAGTACAATGCCACTCAGAGATTCAGATGCTATGGACATGGCTGTGGTTTAGGAGGTAGAGCGTGTCGTTTCCTAACCGGAAGATTAAGCGCTTGTCCAATCAACATGTCGAAGTGTCCTTGAGCAAGACACTGAAGCCCCAGTTGCTCCAGGTGATAACACCTGTGAGCGTTTGTGAGTGTGAATGGGTGAATGGCCAAGTAGTGTGTAAGCGCTTTGAGTGTGCTGTAAAGCGTAGAAAAGTGCTATACAAGTATAAGACCATAAGATCATGCTTTATATTTATCTCAATCAGGCCTCATGCAAAGAATAATTTATTTTTTGTGAATGATTTTACTGTAGAGACAAAATTTTGGTTATTACAATTAAAATAATAGTGCCTGATCACTTCTTTTTACTCAGAAGGAAGGATATATTTTTACCTGGATAAGCTCCGTAGAGATTACTGAGTAGAGATGTGTTGACCCAATTGAACACATCCCCAAGACTCATGGTGTCTGAGGTGCCTCCACTGAAGCTGTTCACAATGTGCTGGTTCAGGTAAAAAGCAGTGGGGTCTCTCTGTGCGTATGCCACCACCATCAACATGCACATAAACCCCAAGTACACTAAAACACACAAAACAAATTGATGCATTACAGTTTTGCAAATTCACCATGCACAAGCAACACTGAAGGCCAGAATCAGGGTGAAATGTCATTTCCTTTGTCATTGTAATAAATAGATTTTGGGTTGTATTGAATCACTGTGCATACAGGGTAAAGCAGGCTAAGAGAAGCTGGGCTTACACTGCAAAGCCTGACTTTAGCTAGCCTATCAATGTGTTTACACAGCAGCAGAAGCAGTCCTCCATCTGCACAGGATAGTTTGCATTATGTAGGAAGGTGTATCCATAGAAATGGAGAAAATGCAGTTAAACCTGGACCTTTTCATTGAATTAGATCATTAAAAAACATTAGAAAACAGTTTGTACTTAAAATCTCTTTGAGGAGGGCAAAGGCTTTCTGCTCCATGATCCTGTTCCTCTTCATCTTCTCAATGTCTGCAGGAGGAAGTGGTTGATAAAGATTTGTATTCCGTCTGACATGTTGGTCCTTAGAGTAATCTGTTGGACAAGACATTTTTGTTTGTTGTAAAACAGGAACATCCTTGATCACTAAGTCAAAACAGATGACCAATAAACAGTATCCTGGAAGTATTTTATTTATTTACTGTAAGAATTTATTTTTTACCTGGGTTTACATCATTTATTATAAATGCCATATTTTGAGAATCTTCCTCTTCAACTTTTTTTATTACCAGCGCAAAGAACAGTGCAAGGCATAACACCTGTGGTAAGAGGTATGAACACAAATGAATATAAATGTTTTATTTCAGGTTCATGCTCATAGAGAAAAATGTATGTATAATAATGATTATTATTATGAGAAAACTATTAAACTGAGACATTTATAATGCTCTTATAGTTCTAAACAAAGAGCACATTCTTCTTACCTTCAGTGGCTGAATGATGAGGTTACTCTGAAAAAAGGAAACAAGCAAGGACACCAACCAGTCTATGGAACGCTGCTTCCCAAATTTCAACCCATAAAGCATTGTGAAATATCCAGCTACAACACTGGTAGCAACCACTAGCAGCCAGCCCACAAATATAAACCACCAGGGTAACCCTCCATGACAGCACGCTCTTTTCTTCTGACCACCATCTGTGCTATCTGCAGGACTCAAGCTGCAAGTGAAAAAGGGAAAACCATATACTTAAATACAGCTATCTTCTGAAACACACTTACTGCATTTCATGAGCAATACGATTTTAAATGCAATTTTGATTGAAATGTCCTACAATCAAACCAAAACATTTACCTTACATTACTAGTTTTGATGTATATGCACAGGGTAAGCAATTTAAAAAGTGGTTTTGCAAGTTTTACCCCATTATCTGCAAATTGTGCATTCCTTCGTGGATTATTCAACATTTCAGGAAATGGGCTCATTTGTTTTCTTGCTGAAGCTCAGATAAGAAGACTGACACCACTCTCACTCTGCAGTAATATGAAGTTACAGCCAGCTGGTTAGATTGCTTAGCACAAAGGTAGCAAATCCAACTTTTTATAATGTGCATGTTTTTAAGCTCTGGGAAGAGCCAGATGAACCATTCCCCCCTGCTTACAGTGTTTATGCTAAGTTAACTGTCTGCTGGCTCTAGCTTTGTATTTACCATATTACTCAAAGAGCAAAACTGATCTCTTCATCAAACTCTCTGCAAAAATGCAAATAAGCCTACTTCCAAAATGCCCAACCTATTCCTTTAAGGTTTCATACATAACACAGTAAGTATGTGTACTGACTGATAAAATAAGAGGTGGAAAAGACTGGTTTTGCATGTTTAAGCCAGGATTCTCAATATTACTGCCAATTATTTCATAAATCTAATGCCAAATTTCATTTCAGTGCACAGAGACAACCATTTTGTATGTGACACAAATAATATAGCACACTAACCACAGCAAGTAAATAAAAACACAAGGATATAATAATGATAAAGACAATTCAGTGTTCACTTGAGTGACTATCAAGGCTTTGAAAAAAATCTAGAATATTCTAAAAATATATAGAGTTTGTAGATAACAGGCTAATGCATGCAAATCCACCAATGTGGTCTTTTGTACTTCTTCTGGTTGAGTTCATCTAGGCTGATGGAGCTGGATGTGAAGAGCTGATGTTCAAGTAGGCCCTTCATGCCTCGGACCTGCTGCAGAGCCAGGCTGTAGCTGTGTGGACTGGGGAAACCAGAGGGTCCCAGCAGGATTATCTTTGTGTCAATATGACACAGCTGCCTGTACAGATACAGGGTTTTGTTGCTCTTCTTCTCAGTGCCCTGCACTGTCTCTCCAGGATGCACACTAGCACTGCCGTCTGAGAACACAAATAACGTGATAAGCTGTATTCTATACTTAAGGCAGATCTTAAAACTTTAGGCACACATTAAGGCACACAAGTTAAAGTCATAGATGCGTTGATGGCTTCATGGTAGGGGCTCTGTCTTTAAAATGCTTTGTTATAGGCTTTTTGTGGAGAGGAAAACATCTTAAGATCTACTTTACAATGTCCAAAAAGGGTGGCTTGTCCCTCCCTGGCTTCAAACTTATCATTTAAAATTTGGCTTGATCTTCCATCGGGTAGTGTTTGATTAATAGAGAGTTCACTCTGTACAACCATTTGTTTACAGGATCTTTTTGTTTCTACTTTTCATGTAAAGAAGAATAACTGTGTCCTGGGAACCATGATGCCATATTCTTTATCTAAACTGAAAAACATTTATCCATTCCACGCATGGAACTATGGAACTATGACATATCAGTCTGAAAAAATAAGCTGCTGTTATCTGGATCCACTCCCTTTGTGTTCCCTCCATGAGGCTGAAGAGTTCCTGTATACAGCTCATAAAGGATCTATAAAACCTACAATGATAAAGGCCTTTGCACCTTTCAAGATATGAAGGACTTCTCATTGCCAGGTTCAAGCTGGTTCAATCCTCTGAACACATATGAAATTTTCCCACCTATCCATCTCTTTGTCTTCGTTCGAATCCTGTGGGTGTGTCTCTTTTTTGTATTCCATTCTTGTCACTGTACACTGCAGCACACTGCCCAGTGCCTTGAAATGGGGAACTGGGTTTCTGACTACCACTGGCCTTGTTTGTTTAGTAATATCTTAAGCTCTTCTATACCTAGACCTTGCCTACAGGGTTATTCAATAAATTACAATTGTTTACACGTGGTCTGTAGATTCATGATGAATCCCTTAGATAAATGCTCTAATGCTGTGGGCTCATACAGTTATAATCAAAAGTTTTGAGTGCCAGCAGGTAAATTATGTATTTTGCCAACTGCAAAATGTGTTTGAAACACTTTCTACAGATTCATGGGATACAGTATGTTGTTGTCAAATAATTACAAATTATCAATGCAAACATTCTGAATTTACCAGCAAGTTCATTTATAACTTAGAGTGGAGAGAAACTGTTGTTGTGAAGCTTCGTAAAAGCACTCGTGGAAGAATCTGTGAAAACTGTCATTCTCAGCTGTGCAGAACAGATGTTTACTTGGAAAGAGGGCAGGGCTTTGGCTCTCTGTTATATCCTCTTCACCACATACTATAAGAGCACTGTATCTCAAAACACAGGACAGTATTTACTATCCAGAGAAGAGCACACCTGGTAGCTGAGGCTGTGTTTTTGACGTGCTGTTATCACTGGTCTTGTTATTCTGTCTGATAAGGTCGTCCACCACAGAAAGGACAGCATTGATATCAACTTGTGGTCCAGGCCCAGGCTCAGACTCTGTGCATGGAATGTCGCTCGTCACACCCTTAGCGAGTGAATGGATGATTCTTATGATATCCTGAGAGAGAAAACGTTGAAATGTAAATGTGTTTTTCCTATTAAAATGACAATATATGTAATTTTTATATACAGTATATGGATTTGAGAATAATTATTTGTATATAGTATCCCTCACTATTTTGAACATGTGCAAGGACTGTCACAGTCCAGAAAAGCCTTTACTTAATCACTTCAGTGTTGTTAGTTGTTAGCCTGAAACATTTTAAATAGCTGTTGTACATAGCACATGAAAACATGAAGCACCTACACTGATGATAATGTCTAAAGTGACATTGGATTTCATGGTGGTGTTGGCAGTCTGTGAGGAGCTCTCCTGCTCAAGGGCATGTGGTTTTTCTTTTTTGCGCTTGCAACAAGACATCTCCCGAGGACGAGTCTTTCTGAAGATACTAACAATGAGGAAGTTTACTGGAAACATGATGAGTGAACTCTGAATTCCAATCATGAATTGCTGCCAGTTAAACTCAAAGGGACCTGCGAACAGAACGTGAGAAAGTTATAAATAAGATCCTCTTGGACTCCTTCCTCTATGTCACCTAATGGCTGGTTTTATAAATGCAGATGTACAACGAAGAAGCACCAGTACATGTACAATATACTGTACATGTAAAATATACAACCTACTTTAAGAACTGCTGGCTTTTTTTCTTTCCGAGTAAATTGATATGTAATAAAACTGTGGCATACCCATCTCCATGACCTGGTCAGAGGGGTCTGTCGGGATGCCATAAAACATGATGCTGGTCAGCATGGTGCAGAGCAGCAAAGAGAAACAGCAGGACACTCTTTGAACACAAGTGAAGGTGCTGCTTGGTGGTCGGTTGATCACAGAATACCACAGGTGCCCATCATTGAAATCCCTTGTTGCCTTCATGAAGAACATATTACTGGAAAATAACAAAGTGTAAAACTGTTTAAACCTACATGAACTGCTTAGTAATGAATCACAATATAATGTCCTGACAGTCATTTTATCACTGCAAATCAACCTGCAGCTATTTAAATGCCTAAAGAAAGGTCCACATATGTGTAGGCCAATAGGGGGCTGTAGTAGTGACTAATAAAAAACATAAGTGAATTAGCATTTGTACGCTTTGGCTTCCCTTATCCTGGCTTTTTGAATGTTTTTTTTTTGTTTACACATCTGAAATAAGGTCTGTGAGTTAACACAAAGCCAATACATTTTCATGTTTTGTTCTACAAAATTAAATACACCAGTAAATGCTCCATTTGTTATTTTAATGCTTTTACAGTGCATGTCTTAAAAAAGTGGCTAAATGAAAATACAGAGGCTATCTGAGATGTTAATACTGCCGAACATGAAGACTCATCTACTCACTAGCCCACATTTACAGCCTCGTTATGTTTAAACTTGTGTACCTGAAAACTATTCTAACTAACTGATACATCCATGATCAGTAGCTAGATCAGATCATGCTACGAGGACAGGATTTTATAGAAGAGGTAAGCATACTACACTAGATAAAATTATAAGAAGGAAGTTATGGTGGTGATGCTGAAGTCAGGGGACTGTGTCGTAGTTTGTTTGGCCCACAAAAATATGTCATCCCTGTTTGGCACATTGTTAGGAAGGGATTAAAGATAATTGGCAGTTTAAATCCATTTTATTTCTTACATTTGGTTAATTTCAAACAATAAGAAATCTGAATCTGTAGTCTGCCTAGTTCAGTAGGTTCAGGTATAAAAAAACAGTCCTGTTTATTTTGCATTTTCATGTGACATATTTAAGTTTATATTTTAGAATACCTTTCAGAGTTGGTAGAGTTTTCAAATGTTTTTATGCTTCTCAGCCTAAATATTGGTGCCTAATTACCTGCCTGAAGGCTTAGTTTTCATGTGTCTATGTCATACTTCAAAAATTGAGCTTGCAGTAAACCTTTAGTAATCCTGTGTCATTCTATGGCTCATGCACCTCAGTCCTTACCTGAACCTCTTCAAATCTATCTCTGTTGAAGCAGGAAAAACTTTATCAAGGGAACAATCAACCATGTCTATGGCCAGCCAGGAGTTGCAGAGGAAATGCCATTTCTGATCCGTCTGTAAATCCTGTACCGTCACACTGCCTACATACCTGAGGAAGAACAGCTAGGGTAAATGTAAGCGTTGAATTCCCTTTAGATAAAATGACTTGAGGTAAAAAGTTTGCTTTTCTTCTTCTTTCATCTTTTTGATTTGCTCTGTGTTAGCTTACCAGGCAGGGTGGCTCCCTGAGTTGCTGTGCCATAGCCTGATGCCCTGCAGCTCTCCCAGGGACAAGGGTGTAGTTAGCAGGAACCTGTCCACCGCACCTCTCTCAAACAAGCATTTCTTTTTATCTGTCAGGTGGTGTGGTTCACTGTTTCCATCTGTTCCCAGCAGAGTTATTGTTACCTAAAACAGTTCAGTACATGTTGAAAGTCAAAAGTCCAACTGTGAAATAAATACATTTACTTCACCTCCAGAAGGAATGTTAGCTTGGGGACAGGTGCTGACAGCAGGTCACCAGCACAGCCCTTAGCTGTGAAGTTGTGTAAATAGGGACTTTTTCTATGTGCTATGAAATGAGGGATGCCAATCATACAACCTGGACTTGAGCCTGAAGGAGTCAGCATGACTTGCATTTGCCATATGAAGTCATTTTTCTTTTTATTTTAGAAAGCTATATTGACCAATGAAATAATAGTATATTCCTAAGTAGGTCAGAGAGAAAGGTGGAATAAAGTAAGCTCCGGGCAAAGAGGAGCTGTACAGAATAGAAAAGGGATGTTCTGAGCTCTGTAGTCGTTCCACTCCATGCACCGGAAACAGATGAAGAAAGACCTTCATTTTGACACATGAAATTTTTGTGCTCACAAGCCAATGAAAGGAAAATTCTAAAGACTGTATCTTTGCCCAAATTGTTTCTTGTAGATATACTTTTTATAAGCTTGTTTAACACCAGTATGAACTTTTGATCAATTCCTCACAGTTCTGAAATGTAGCTCCTGAGAAATGTCTTCTCATCTCTCATTGGTCCTGTTCTAAGATTTTAATGTTCCATATTTTTTCTTTCTCCTGTTGTATAAATTAGTATAATTTCTTCCACATTCTAAATTTGATATTCACATACTGTAGTGTAGGCTCATAGGTTATCTTCTTATTGATGGCTAACAACTGTTAAAGATTTCATGAATCTTAAGAAAAGTTACTGTATATTCCTTATTTTTATTTTTTTTTCTGGATACCCAGTAGGTTCCAGCTTCCACAACAACTGAGATGGATGTGATGTGCATGACTGAAAGTCTATGTATTCTTTGACTGATACAATCAGAGGGGAGCTGGGGACAGGGCATGCCTTAGTAGAGAGGCCAAAAATAGAAAAATCCATTTAAAAAAATCATAAAAACCAGAAAAATTGAAAGACATGAACTTTGTCCCCATAATGACAAAATTATATCAATTTACATGGCTCTATTTACACAAATGTTTAAAAATGAAAAAAAATGATGCTTTTTCTTCTCAAACTGCCTTCCTTTGTCAATTTGTCTCTCAAAATGATGATGCACAAGAAACCTACTAGTGCCGCAAATCCCAAGACATTTTTCTATTTTTTTCTTTCTCGTGTTCCAGGGGTAATTTTTCTTAAATTGATTTTAGTCTTTGCTCCATACTGTATTTCTGCAAAGGCAGGGTTTAGGAGAAAAGGTCCAGGCTTTATTAGACTCAAAGTAAGAATCTGATTTACTTCTCAGTAGAAAATGGAAAGTCACTTGTGAGCAGCACAGCTTTCCTTTGGGATGAAGCAAACTCAGCCATCTGTTTTCCAGTTAAGGAAAACAGATATTGCCTTTGTCTTGACTTACTGGCATTAGTTGTTTTATGTAGTGTGTACTTCACAGTCATTGGTTCATTCATAGCTGTGTAGCTTCTAACATCCATTCATATTCATGCAGGTGTCATTATAACCTGACACTATTATTATAACTGTTGATTCTGTCACACTAACATTATTTCCTGCTGCAGCTCATTCCACCAGACTAATCTACTATTATGGTTTTGATTCCTTTCCAGATCCAAGAGCACTTCCACTCTGCCCGCCTCTGCTTCAGCTCCGCTCTGCCCATCTCACTCTGCCTGCCTCTTCTTACAACCTTCGGGAGGTCCTGCCTGCCTGACTTACCTCAGCGCTCACGGTACTACAGCTACACTTGTGTTCTCTGTACTCTTACCTATTAATAAAGACTTTCTAAGTTCTCTGCCTAGTCCTGGTCTGCATTTTGGGTCCTAGCCCTGTGTTAGAAACCTAACATTTCCTCCTTATGTGGTAAATTTGAAATGGTGTATTTCACTATGATTTATGCTCATGTATGGTACTGATGCTCTCAGCAGATTCTTTTGTCTTTAAGAGCTCCCTCAAAGAGCAGAGCTTTATCTGCCAAATCTAACTGTATAGTATTTGCTAGAAATGTCTGTCTGTACTGTAAACATATTTACCCGAGAGGAAGTGGAGGCTCCTCTCCGATACCCAGTGCTGACACACAACAGATATCTGTACTCATCCATAAGGTTGTTGTCCTCCAGAATGGTGACTTTCAGCTTCCAATAAACAGAAGGCAAATTTGGTCCAGGCAAAACACAATAAAAATAGATTTGTTAGAAAGTCTTACTTTTTCTAAGAAAATAATCAGGTACAGATGTAGACACTCATAGTGTCACACTGCTGTTTTAATTAAATAGCGCAGTGGTACACAAATGATACACCTCCGTTCTGTCATATAGTATTTTAATGGCCCCAAATTGACAATATTTTAGCTGATAAAATCTACAGACAATTTTATATCTACCACATTGTTAAAGTCAATATAGATACAGGGGCAGCAGCTGTGTGATAAATCAGACTTAAAATGAGTGAAGAACTGCAGGTTGGATTTTAAAACATTGCATTATTGATGTAGCGCCACCAACAGGACTCCACAAATACAATACAATGAAAAAAGTATGACACTTTGAATGCCTACATTTGTAAGAAAAATATTTAGATTTAAAATGCTCAATGTAATTGGGAAACAGACACATGCATTTTGGGTAATGGTGCTTTATGAATTATACCTTGGCTAAGTCTTTAACATCTTTTCGTCGTGCCAACAAAACCACCAAAAGATAGGTCACAAAGAGTGCACCCACAAAGCACACAACCACAGGGTTTTGAGTAAAGGTGCCAAACAGCTCAGCAGTACGTGATGGGTCAACAAGATTGGGGGTGACAAAGAAAGACCTCCCGAAGAAGGTGAGGTGGTTGCAGAGGCACTGGGTGACTAAAGGTGTAGTGTTAACACCAACCTTAAAAGACAACATGCTTCACTGTTATTAAAGAGGCAGCACATTATTATACATGACAGGCAGATTGAAATACTATACGTACCACGCAGCCATAGGTGGACCAGTCCAGTATTGATTCATGCCAAAATTTACAAGAAGTGGTGACAGGGGTTATTGATAAAGTGGCATTGATGGATTTTATACCTGGACCCACTATGGGCCTCACCACAAGATAGTATGTTCCAGTTTTTCCATTGAATGTCTTGGGGTCTAGCATCCAAGTGTATCTCTCTGCTGTATAAGACACATAAAAGCACTCAAGTAATGCATCAAAAATCAAATTTAAAAGGCATTAGAGGTAAAAACATACCACCTCCACAACTAAGCAAAAACATTTATTACCTTGTGTAGTTCCCTGCTGCTGAGGCATCTCTGTCATTGCTACATAATTTGTTTCAGTGGGGTACCCCATGTAACCAAGGAACACTTTGAAGGGTAATGGGTCCTTTGACGGCACCATCTTTAAAAAAGTAGATAAATATAGTTGCAGCAGAAATTCTCAACAATGAACAAGTTGGTGCAGCCAGAAAAGACAGCATATAAACAGCATAACACTGATACAAGTACAGATTAAGAATTTCAAATATTGAGTACAAAGAACTTATTTTCATGTTATATTTTAACATACAGTATGTGATGTCAAGATTAAAAACAAAATATTAAAAATTCAAAAACAGTTTGTATAGAATGCTGCTCAGGTACAACAAAAACCTACTGCTGCCATTTGGAACGACATTGATATCATTATTAGTTTGAAAGTTATTCAACAAAAACTATGGACATAACAGACATTCACATGTTGGTTTTGGCGTAAAACGGGGACCACAGGCAAAGCTGTGAAGATGTCACATTTCTGCAAGTCTCTTCTGCTTGTTCAACAGCAGTTTGATAAGCTGTTCATATGGTCTCTGTTACTGGAGGAGACCCTTGAGACCAACACAGAGAAAAATACAGTGAAGCAAAGCAGGACGGTCTGCATCAACCCATGAGGTTAAGCCAGGTGATGGTTAAGGGAAGCTCTCGGTGTACTGCTTGCTAAGTTCTGACAATGGAAACCCAGCTATAATGTGCAGCTGGAACACCGGCATTCTCACAATAGACTACCATACTCTGAAAAAGATATAGCTGCCTGCTAATAGAGCTAGCCTGGTCAGATAACGAACACTCTCACATCTCCAGAAATTTCAGAGCAAATTTCTAAATTGGCTTTGCCTGGATAGACTGACCACATAGTCACAATCTAAGTGGTTACTTTGTTATCTGGAAAAAAAAGCCAAAACTTGATAAAGTGGCCTAATACCAGTCCTACAGATGAAAATGATAACAGATTTGAACCTGGCTCCAAATCTCTGCCATTAGGCTCTCACCCAGCTGTCATTGAAAATCTTTCCCCAGCTGTGAGCTGTCATCTGGATTGTTTTCCTCCTTGTGTAATAAACTTTCAGGATGCATTTCTCGATGTAGTGGCAGACTGTGTTAAGTGACAATGGTTTTCTAAAGCACTTCTGAGCCCGTGTGGATATAATCATCACTGTAGCGTGATGATTTCTCACGCACTGCCTCCTGAGGGCTTGAAGGTCATACATATTGAACAGTGGTTTTCGCACTTGGCCTTTATGCACTGAAATTTCCCCAGATTCCCTGAATCTTTTCACAATATTATGTTCTGTAGATGGTAAAAGACCTAAATTGTTTGCAATCTTGTGTCAAGAAATATTAAATGACTGAGAAGCTCTCATGAAGTCTGGCACAAAGTGATGTCACAGCCCATCCTTGATTGCAAAGACTGGGCCTTTGGTGGATGCTCCTTTTACACCCAGTCAAAATGCCTTCATCTGTTACCAGTTAACCTGCTAGTTTTGGAATCTTCCAGAATGGTGTAACTGGAGCATTCTAAAAACCTTTCAGTTTTATTAGCCTCGGTTCCAACTTTTTTGAGTGTGTTGCAGGCATCACATTCTTCATTAGTTTATATTTTCAAAATGCAATTAAGTTGGTTAGTGAAAACAATGAAAACATTTTCTTTGTAATTTTCAGTTAGGTTTAAGTGAATGAACAAATCACTGATTTAGTTGTTTATTGCATTTTGGAAAATGTCGCAACTTTTCTGAGTTTGTACATTGTCTCAGATGTAGATACAAACATGATACTTGACCTTTAACAACAGAATATTGTCATCTGAAGGTACATCTAGGCCCACCGTGCTGTAGTTCCTCAGGTTCAAAACAGAGGTATTCACCTGCTGTCCATTAAGATTTGGCATCAAAATCTGTGCACCAGGCAAAATGACAGAAATCAGATTCAGATATTTATTTACAGATGGTATGCTTACTAGTGCTGTAAAGGTACATGTCATGTATTCATACCAAACAGCTTCGGTAGAGGACTTTAAGTACATTGTAGATAGGTAGTTAATGCAATCCTTAATAGTAGTTATCATTAGCTTCTTTTGCATGCAAAATCACAAATTAAAAACTATTGTCACCTTTCATTCATAACCACTTTCATATACAGTACATAAGAGTAGTTCTGCATGAGAACTTTGACAATGTGACTCCACTCTAAGAGAGGGCATACTGAACACATACCCTACCCTACAGTCCTGTCTGCTGTATCACACTTTAATATAAACACTTAAAACCTTAAACAAATGTTTAACCAAATTTGTTTTACTGGTTCAGTTGTTTACATCAAAAACAGGTGACCATTATACAGTTTTCATTTCACTGAATGCTTTTTCTAGTACAAATTCAGCCAGACTGCTGTCTAAAGTGAAATCTGTTTTCCTTGAATAAAGGTACAGACATGAGGCCATGCCCTCAACAGGAAAGCACAGTAAAACAATCCTCAGATGCCTCACTGACCTCAATCTTGTCATCCAAGTTTTGCACTGGGATATTTGAGCCATCATGTGTTGTGAGCGATAGAGCACCCACCGCGCCACTGATGTCCCCTCTCTCGTTCCAGGAAAATGGATTTTTTTCTAAATTCAGTATCTGTAAATGCATTTAAAGAACAAAATAGGTTTAAACCCCACAAGCAATTTCAGTACTTCAAAAAGCTAACAAAGACTGGAATCTAATACAGCAACACTCCTAACTTACTCGTACATCCACTGGGTCTTCTGAAGGAAATATCCTAGACGGTAGTCTTGGCAAAGAAAATGTAAAGCAGCTTGTACAGTTGGAAATCTTTAGGGGCTCTTTGTTCAAATCGCTTGGCTTCAATCTGTGAGAAAAGATAAACACTCACATTAAACGTAGATGTTTTTTGTTTTTTTTATTTTAGTTCGCTAGTGTTCTTTACTGTGCTTTCTGGTGTGTTTGAATTTGTCTTTGTGACGCTCTGCCCTAAATGTTTTGAGCACAAATAACGTGCAGGTCAGAGGTATTACTCTACAGTTTAAGCGTGCGGTATTGATTTGGGGTTTTGTTTTTTATATTGTTCCACTTAGTTATGAGTTATTTTAAACAAGACTGACAGGACTTACTGTAAATAGCAAACTGGGACACTGTAATTATAAGAAGTTAGGACTATGAATAAAGACACACAGAAAATGGTTAAGGATATTAGCCATGTAGGCCTATATGTATATGTCATAGGTACAGTATGACACTAAAACATGCTGGTTTAATGATTACACAACTGGTAGCCAACACTCAAAGCTGTAGCAACACATACTTCTAAAAACTTGAATTCAGTTTCTGCAAGGCTTAGCATAAATATTAGACATGGGGAAATGGCTAGCCTACCTGTGTCCAAACAAAATCTGCCTATATTTTTAATAATTACATACAGTCCCTCATTTTTTGATAGATTCTTAATTTATTACTCCTGAGTCCTTGCCAGGAAACCACATTTTGTATTGTAATTTCATTCATTCATTTTCTACCGCTTAGTTCCTGAACGGGGTCACGACGGAGCCAATCCTGGCCGGCAATCAGGCGAAGGCAGGGTACACCCTGGATAGGTCGTCAATCCATCGCAGGGCTAACACATAGACGAACAACCACACATGCACTCCTATGGGCAATTTAGAGACACCAATCAACCTAAGCTGCATGTCTTAGTGGACTGTGGGAGGAAGCCGGAGTACCCGGAGAGAACATGCAAACTCCACACAGAAAGGTCCCAGGTGGGGCCCGAAACCGGAACCTTCTCGCTGTGAGGCAATGGCGCTAACCACTGCGCACCGTGCCGCCTGTATTGTAATTTATGTCTACTTAAAGCTGGTTTGTTATGTCAAAGAGTATTAGAGTGTATAAAAAGGTTTTTTAAAGATCCCATGGCATGACATTTTTTATCTATACATTGTCGTAGCTTCCTGACCAGCAACAGAAGTTGTGCACGTTTTATGAACTATCCTCTTGTTTTCAGGAGGAAGCTCTCCTTGTGGTATTGGGCTTTATTGTTCTGAAATAATTATAAAATATGTGGAGTTATGATGGGTGCAAAACTAATATAGAGGGACCCAGGATTACAAAATAAATGGCTGTGGCATAAAGTGCCTGTGGCATGCTCATATGCCACAGGCACTTTAAGCTCTGTGTAAACAGGCTTAAATCAAAACAGTTGTTTAGAAGGAGGGTCAAAATGCTAGCAGTTTTTCACGATCTCTGTGTAAAAGGGGCTTATGTTACCATTGTCTCCCCCAGTGGGAGGTCATATAACTTGCTTTTATGCTAAGATATGCTAAGCTAAACTAATTGGATGAAGTCTTACTCTCTCCATACAGGTGAGAGCGGTTTTGAACTTTTCCTTTGTCAGTTTCATGGCTCGTAGCTGAGGTGTGACTCACCTTTGAACAGAAAGACAAATATTGGCTTGCTGGATAACAGTCGGATCTTCATCCACATCTAGAAATGCCAACAGTGCACTCTGTATATTTTGTAGAGCTACAAGAAGGGCATCAGAGATGCTACTCTGTAAAGCATAACACAGTACTGTATTTAAAAGATAACAGAGGACAGGATGATAGTTTTTTTCAGGCATTCACAAATTTAAGCCCCTTTCAAACATGGTACCCATGAATTTGCCGGCTACATATAGCAATGTAGCAGTTGCTTTTTTGGCATTCAGACATAGAGCTGCTTATTCTGCTTTGTTCAAGCATAGCAGGAATTAGCCAGGGAGGGCCACGACTTTTACACAATATCCAACATCACACGAGACACACACAAAAAGGTTACGAATATTATCTGAGATGAAAGGTCATCTGAACCATAGCAGCATAGCATTCTGCAGTGCGGTGGCTGAAAGTTTTATATTCATGCTGTTGTGTTAGAAGATGTCTGTAAACTGCATGCCTGAGGAACTTTAGGATATGAGTAAACAAAGATGTGGAAAATTGTTTGGTTCAAGCATATGCACACATCCTCTGCAGTTCTCTGGGCTTTGGAGAGCTTTCTGGGTCTCTTTGGGGGAGGCAGTATGGGCAGTTCTGTGTAAAAGCATACAGTATAATAAGTACATTGGTCAGTCAGACACATTTACTACATTAGTGTTAGCAGGACTGTAAACAACAGGCACCAGGTGGATTTAACATTTACCACTGTCATGCATAGCCTACTGTTTGGCTTTCCAATTTTGTCATGTTGTTCTTAGGCAATACACGACAAAACAAGAATACAAATACAATAATGTTGTCGTGTTCCACCCCGACTTCCTGCCAGAGACTCTTATTGTGAAAGAAACTTTTCACTGTTTAATTCCCTCCAGCTTCACTTCTGCCAGTCAGTGACTGATACAGATCACCTGGCTAATGCCACTCACCTGTTACTCTTATCTTCACCCTACACATAGTGCCTTGCATCTCCTCTGCAGCTGTTGGATCATTATTAGACCTACACCATGCTTTTAAGTCAGCCCTGGTCACTGGATGTGTGTGGCCTACCTACTGTATGCCCTATTTGTGAGCCCGATGTAGAGCTTGCCAGCTTCTGACCCAATTTCTGCCTTTGACTGTAACCCCTGCCTTAGGCCTTGGATTCTGGAAGCCTACCTATTGGTGTTTAGGTTGTTGTCTTTCTTTTTTTCCTCTCTGCTGCCCATTTTTGTCCTCTTCAGCACTTTTGTGTTGCAGTGGTCAGGGGTATTTTTGCTTATGTACATCTTTGTTTAGCTCTGGCTGTTTTTCTCTCCAGATACATTTGTAATTTTTATTTTTATTTTTTTTGCCAGGCATGGCAGTACATGGCCTCTCTGAATTTTCCACTCTCTGACATCAACGTATCTGTTTTGTTTCATTGGTGTACACTGCTGTATCAGCCCGGGTTTGAATCAGGGTTGCGTCAGGAAGGGCATCCGGTGTAAAACATGTGCCAAATGTCAAGTCAACATGCAAGTCGTCAGTGTGACGATTGGCTGTGGCGACCCCTAAACGAGAAAAACTGAAAGTGACTTTCTTTCGGTGTACACTGCTGTATCCTAATATCAAACTTTTTAAAGTACTGTTCTGTCTCTGGTGTCTGTATTTTGGTCCTGACAAATACAGCACACATATGTTTACATTGAGGATTCCTTTAGATTATCCAAACTGGTTTCTGTGCATTTTGTTCTTGGTGTCACTGCTGGCTGGCTGTTGCTCGAGGCTGCTCAGTGCCGTTGGGGTTGAGTGGCTTGTCCCCCAGAATGTTTCACAAAGTTAAAAATATTTCCAATCAAAATGTTATGCATCATTTTGTCTACTGGTCTTTTATCACCAGGTACTTCTGTACAAATTTTTCATTTTGTTGATTACCTTAGCCTTACTTTGACATGCAATTCAAACATGTATCGGGCTATTTGACTGGGTCCAGCCAGGTAAAATTGCTGGTAACACTTTGCTAGCTACACAATGCTGGCCTTTGTTCAAACATAACGCCTAGATGTGAAATAGCCAGCAAATTACTGGTTAGAGGTGCATGTCTGAAAGGTGCTTTAGGAAAACATTTAGATAAATCCTCCAGGTCAGGTGGGTGATGAATCATTGGCCTTGCACCTGGTCACTTACACTGACAACATTTTAAGACCAAGAGAAAACTGACAAGTTGTCACACAACACTCACTTTGTGCACAGGAGTTAAAGAAACTCATTAACAGGAACCAGTTGTTAATGCAAAAAAAACAAACAAAAAAAAACAAAGATACACTAAACTAAAAGGTGCCTGTCTGTATTAGATGTACTGTAAATGGGAAATCATCAGGTATCAACTATTCTTGGGATGATTAAAATCACATTTAAATCACCCAACCTTCCTTAGAGAAGTAATCCCATCAGCATAGGCCTTAAGGTTAAACTACTCACACTGAAGCTATAGTCCAAGATATTGCTGGCTCCTTCCACAATGCTGCTGGCTGCAATGTATATTTCTTTCTTGTTTTCAGCAGTTTTGTTCTCATACATGTGGAGGAGAGATGAGCTGAGGTTTGCAAGTAATAATGAAGCCTTTTCCTGAAGATGAAAATAAACTCTCATAAACATAAATAGTTTTAGCCAGGGGATTATCATGTGTTCCTGATATCTCACTTAATAATCTGCTCCAAATGCACATACAAGCTTTATCCTTCCAATGGCATTTCAATAATATAAAGCAGTAAACATAAGTGAGAGTGATAATTATGTTATGCAGAGATAACTGATTTATTTCTTCCTCCTATAATGTTCTATTTTCATTAGTGTGGAGTTAACAGTACCTGAGCAGAGGAGCTGAGTTCAGTGCCTTTCTGGACAATAGCAGTAAGCCCTCTGGTGGTCACATGAACTTCTTCTGGAGTGTTGGTAGGAGCCTCTTTTACTGCCTCAACCATTGTGTTCAGCATCATTTCACGAATCTTTAACAGACAAAAGCATTTATAAGCTTATGTATTTTATTTTGTTGTTAGGACCAAATTCAGAAAAATGGGAATAAGAAGCATGTCCAGAAGGAGAGGATGAGACAAACCTAAAGAAGAAAATTCACGTTAGATTGTGTAGATTCAGTGTAGATTCAATACTTCTGCCAGACAATACTTTACTGTTGATTCATTCTTGTTTAGAAAAGGTTTACCTGCTGCCTATCAGCTTTTTTTGTTTCATCAGATTGACCGTTCAGGTTACTGGCCATAGAACTGAAGAGTTCTCCCACAGTTTCTCCTGATAGTAGACCTTGTTCTTTCAGCTGAGCCACATTATTTTCTAATGAAGTCTTAAGCTCATGTAATGAGTTAGATGCTACTGTGAAATCCAAAACCTGAAGATGAAAAGGCATTATCTTATAGTAGTGTCAAAGAAAATTAGAGAATTTCTATAACTCTTGTCCCCATTTTTTAATCATCATATTTTTGGCAAACCTGTGTAGTTATATTGGTGCTATCTCTAAAGCTTCTACCCCTTGCTGTTGCTGTGATAATCAGGTTGTAGACAGAGTGTTTGTCTCCAAGAGGAAGGAAGACAGATTTCATCTCATTTTTGTCACTGCAACGCAGATGTTTATCTAAGAATTTATAAACAACAAAAAAAGATAGATTAAGAGATTTTTAGGATAGTACAGAGTAGTATAGTTATCATTAAATATTAATTGTTAGAGTTAGATAAATCAGTCTTTTGAAAAGATTTAGCCAAACTAGAATACTTACTCCCAGTCTTTAAGCAGTATTGACATTTATAACAGGGCGTGTTGCAGGTTATTGTGAAAGCGTTAAGGATTGTTCCAGATGATGGTGATATGCTGCATGAGAGTTTGTCAGGTGTTTGAGGGGTGCCAGCACTGCCCTGGTTACCGCTGTTACCAC